TACACTCAGGCAAACACACATAAACATACACTCAGGCAAACACACATAGACGTAAAAATAAATACATACTGTTTAAGAAACCACAGAAACAATGAGGAGGTTGGGCAAGTTTATTACACATAATGGAATACAGTGCAGCAGGCAAAAATAATGCATTCACTACTGTGAGAAACTGTTCACGACATATTAATATAAAGAACGGTCAGGACAAGTATTTGACACAGGACTGACAAGGCATTTAAAGGGCACTGACCACATAGTCAAGAAGAGAGACTGGAAGGGCCCATCCAAAAACGAACAGTAGTTCCTAGCAGGCGGTTAGACTGAGAAGAGCCACGCAGTTGTGACTTCACAGTATCCCAGCATGCTCTACCCCCACTACCTCTTCTCTGAAGCCAGGTTACCATGTGACCCTCTGACGTCCATCTCCCTCTATTACCATTTTAATCAGAAAAAAAAAAACCATTGTCCTTATCACCAGGGAAAACAGCTTGTTCTGATATATCCATACACATGACATATAGGCTATTCTATGTGACAATCCATCTTTTCTCTTTGTTTTGGTGTCTGACATTGGCATCGCTTCTCCTTGGCAGCACTTGGTTCATAAACATCGTAGGTGCATGGCAAAGCAATTCCTGAACAACGGTTGTTCTTGCCGTATTACACTCAGTCTCGGGCAATACAACAAAGTCCCAGCTTTCGAACTACTCTTTGCTCTGATCTATCTACTAGAAACGCTGCGGGAGGACGGAACCTCTGCAAACGAAGACTTGCTCTCGATTAGTCAGAGCGACAAAACTCAATCTCAGACTTGTTGAAAGTAGGATAAGACTCTTCAAGGAGGAAACAAATGAGAAACGGGCAAATGAGATAATGTGAAACTGAAAGACTTCTGCACAGCAGAAGAAACAACCTAACATTGTGAAGAGACAAGCCACAGAATGGGAGAAGGTATTTGTGAGCTATACATCGGGTAAGGGTTCATGGCTAGAATAGCTAAAGAACTTAGTTCAATAGCATTGAAAATAATCTGTCAAAATAGGCAGCAAGCTTAAGCAGACAGAGTTAGGACAGTCAAGACCTCTATGAGAAAATGCTTAACATCACATTAGCAGGTTTGTGTAAGCCAGAACCACAAGGGGACAGCAAGTGTGGGCAAGGGCTGACTGCCATCAGTGGACTGTGAATTAGCATTGTGATTGTGGGACATGGTATGGTGGCTCTGTAGAACTACCATGTGGCCCAGCAGTCTGCTACTGCACAGAGGACAGAAAATCAGTCTGTCAAGGAGACCGTTGCATCCTCACGTGTTGCAGCATTAGTCCCGAGACAGAGAGACCTTGGTCTCCATCAGTGGAGGAGTGGATAGAGAAGTGTGATCTATACACAAATATTGCATATGATGTACATTAAGCAGTCATAAAAGGATGATAAACTATCATTTGTGACAACATGGATGGAACCGGAAGCCACAGTGTGAGAAAAATAAACCAGTCTCATTGTAGTAAGTGCGACAGGCCTGAGCTCCCCATAGGAAGTGAGGGTGAGGGCTCACGGTGAATCGTGAGCTCGTCCATTGAGGTAGCCCACGAACAAGACAGAGATGTGATTCAATCAGTAGCCTACAAAATGAGTCAAATGAGAGAGAGAGAGAGAGGCAGGGGCGAGAGAAGAGAGAGAGGCACTCAGGTGACCCTGACTGGATGAGCAGTATTTGATAGCCTCTCCTATTAGACTGCTCACCAGTTTTGTCCATGGTGTCTTGGGCAGCTGAGATGGCTTAGCAAGCAAAGGCGCCTGCCACCAAGCCCGACAGACGACCTGACTCTATCTCAGGAGCTATATGATGGACAAAGGAAACTAACTTCCCCAAGGTTTCCGCTGACCTCCACACATCTACTGTGGTGCATGAACACCATGTGAACACTCACATACGTACGTACACACACACACACACACACACACACACACACACACATCAACACAATAAAAAAAGGATGATTAATTCAATAAAGATGACCTCAGTCTCGGTTCAGTTACTGATATAAACCCAATAAAATGCCACTAACCTAGGTGGAAGTGTGTTTGTCTCCCTCTCTTGGGAGGGCCACTTGGGAGCTAGTTGTAACATGAGGGCCGGCTTGTTGGGGTTTTTGTCTCACCCAGTACCCCACAGCCGGCATACCCCAAGGAAAATCATACACAGGACTCCATAAGATTATAAGTCTCACTTTTTTCCCCTTTTATTGAAATTTTTTCATTTAATATATTCTGATTACTGTTTCTTCTCCATCCATTCCTCCCAGTTCCTCCCCACCTCCCCTCCCATCCAGATTCATGCCCTTTCTGTGTCTAGTCAGAAAACAAACAGGCACCTAAGGAATAATAGGAAAATACAATACGATAAAGTATATCAAAAAGCAAATTGGAAGATGACAAAAAACAAATAACAATCTCTCTTTGATAAATTTACTTTCATTTCCCTCACTCTTTTCTCCCAAGTCTTTATTCCTCATCACGTTAACACAAGACGATGTGAACTTGAAAGCCACTGGGTGAGGGGTCTCTGGCTGAAGCAGGACAGAAAGCAGGAGAAAATATGGGAACTAAAGAAGGAAAAGGAGCTGGGATCCAGCTGAGGCCTCTTCCAGCAAAGAAGCAAGAGTTCCAGTGTGATTACCAGCTGTGCAAAGCCCTGCTCCCTTCTCAGTCACTAGCCTGAAACTTCTAGGAAGCTCCACAGGAAGCTCCCGACAGAGAGAGGGCACCGCTAAGCCTGTGCCCACCCACCGCTCCTGATTTCACCTTTATGTGCCACTCACAGCATTCTGGAGCTGCTTCCGTTATCCCTCTTAACAAAAGAGAGAAGAGAAAGGTCTCTCAGCAGCCCTGCGAGATGTAACTTGAGAGCCCCCAAAATGTTATATATGGGTAATATCAAGGCAATTAATTACTTCCCCCTACTCACCCTTGGGAAGTTACATACCCGCATTTGGATGCATCTTTTTTCCGAGTGCCTCTTTCAACAACTCTTGTACCAAAACAGCTCCACCAAAGTCTCCAACCATGCCCCACTTCCCTGGCTAATCTGTCTTCAATGTCAAAGCGACCAACCCGGGTTAGGCCTGACTTAAGGTCTCTAAAAGTCTAGAGAATTCCCTGGGCTGCTGAGAGTGAGCAGGTGGGACCGTGTCTGTCCCTTCAGTGCTGACATGGTGACTGTTCACCACCCTGCACCCTGGGATCCTCAGTAAAGCTCACTGGGGCCAAGAAAGACCCTATTGCCCTTAAAGATGCAGCAACAACTGGTACCAGATGGTCTCAGGCACATGCAGAACCCAAACTGGAAAAGGCTGTAAGAATCATGAGGAGCTGGGCAGTGGTGGCACATGCCTTTAATCCCAGCACTTGGGAGGCAGAGGCAGGTGGATCTCTGTGAGTTCGAGGCCAGCCTGGTCTACAAGAGCTAATTCCAGGACAAAAAAAAAAAAAAAACAGACTCCAAAGATCAATGAGATGGTGCTTGTCATAAATCAAGTAAGTGCTCTCCCAGAAGAAAGAGGCCATTTGGGGACAGAGGCCCGAAGGTGTTAAACTTTCATCCCTGTGAAGGAAGAGCAGGAATTCAACAGCTGGGCAAGCATAAGCAATGAGAGGAGGAGAGGGGACCTGTCTGTGGGTGAGAACAGAAGTTCCTGGAGAGCAGCTGGTTCTACAGAGGCTGATTGACAGGCCAGACTTCAGTGACCAGAAAGGCTGGAAGGCGGCGGGTGACGGGCACTGCACAGTCTATGCCGTGAGACTCACTCGTACTTCACTCTGCAGGAAGGAATCCGCACACTGCTAGTGGTTGGCTCCCTCTGTACTAACCTTCACTCTAGACGGCTCCTAGAGTGTCTGTTCAGAACAAGTATGACTCTGAGGCCTAGGTGTTTCCACTACTCCAGAGAGGCTAAGGAGAAAGGCATCAACATGGTAAACCTGAGACAAGACCCCTGCCTGACTGAACTGGAAGGCCGACCTACTGCCTTTGTCTTTCCTTGCTATCTAATCTGCTGACTGAAGAAGGCATGAAGACAGATCTTCAGGATGCTAATGCAGTCTTCTCTGCTGACTGTTGGGTCTTGAAATAAAATGCAGCCTAAAGATTCAACCCCTGGCTTTTCCTGCGTGATGGGCAACAGGGCTCATTACACAGCCAAATTATCTTGGGTCATCTTCGGCCCCCATAATAGCCATTTATTGTCCATCTCTGTGTGTGATCTAACATTTTTGTGACTGACAGGTAAATCCTTTGGAAAGTGTGAACAGACCTCAAAGCTTAGAATGCTGTTGGGTAATATCCAAGGCCTACAGCAGAGATTTCCTGATAGTTTTCATATGTCATCAACGGTCTCAGTTGAACAGGGAGTTTAGGGTGATATAAGTCTGTTCCTAGACCATGGTCACTCATAGTTGGCTCCAAAACAAACTATATCTTGTCCTCTTTGAGGAGAGAGCTGTTTCTTGCATTCACAGAGAAAACTATGAATCAAGACATGTATGAAAGACTATGGTGTAGATGAGAAATTGCAAGTGACTGGAATGTAGTTATATTATGTGCACAGAGAGGGATGCAGGAGGCTGGGATATAGGTTGCACTATATGCACAAAGAG